GGGCAGGAGTCAGGACAGCAGAGGAGGGTGAGGGGTTGGGGGGCAGCAGGCACCAGGGGAGCTGATGGAGCAAGGGGAGGAGACATGGCAGCAGAGGGAAAAGGTAGAGGTTTATAAGATATTTATTAATAACTTGGGTGATATTTATTAATAACTTATTAGTAATTACTGTTCTTATTCTTATTAGGAATTTATGCCATTAAAAATCACTTTTTGGGGGGGGGTTGGCGAGTCCCTTTTTAGTCTGGCAAGTAGGGTTTTCCATAATTTGTCAAGCCCTGAATATTTTTATTTACTTAGTACAGGTTGTACCTCCCTGGTCCGACACCCTCGGGACCTGACAGGTCCTGGACAAGGGAGTTTGCTGGACCAAGGGAAGTCTGGGAGAAGGGGGGTGGGCCTTCTTCCCAGCCACCTAGGCGCCTCTCCCCAGTCTCCCAGTCCTGCAAGCTGAGGCAGCCCTGCTGGAGCTCCCATCAGGCCTGCCAGCTTGTGGCAGCCCAGTGCAGCTTCCAGCAACCCCGCCAACTACGGGCTCTACTGCCCCACGAGCTCCACCCCCACTCTCCCACTGGCTTCTCTGCCCTGGCAGCTGTGGGCTCTGAGGCCCCGCAATCTCTGCTTATCCTACCAGCTTGCTCCAGTCCAAGCTGCCAGCAGCCTCTGCCTCTGGGGCTCCTACTCTCACAACATCCGTGCTCCTTCCAGACCACAGATGTTGTCAGACAAGAGTGTCCTGGACCACAGAGGTTCAGCCTGTATTGTTACTGTTTACTGAGGTGTGAAAATATAGACCTTGACCAAGAAACCTGGACCTTGACAAAAAATAATCCCATGTATTTATTCCATATCATAAGGTAATATCTGAGCATTTGCACTATAAGCTTCTGTAACTGTGTAAATCACCAGACTACAGAGGCACATTAACTAGTGTGAAATACTAGTCTCCAATAGAAGGTACCTAGGTCCTGCCTAACAATGAAGGCCCATCAATACCAGATGAACTATAGAGGAGCATCAGAAGACAAAGGAATTCGACTGCTCTCCTCACTGCTGCATGAAGAGAAGATGTGCAAGTGAACTCCTTCCATCTCCTCCTCCTCCTTCAAGTTTGCTACCAGAAGCAGCAGGAGGGAAGACATAAAAGCCCTTAACAAGAAGGAAGTGTCTTTCTAGTCTTCTTGGTCTCCTGACCACAAGACTTCCAGGCTTAAGCAAGGAATCCCCAGCTATTAGTCCTAAGGGACATATGGAGCTTGCTTATTATACAAGCTTGTACTACTTTTTAATACTTAAAATTATTGGAACTTACGTGTACATATATCTATATGTTCACTTGCTTTAACTTTGTAAAGGACTCTCTTGTTTCCTTTTCCTATATAATAAATCTTTAGATAGTTTACTATAGGATTTGGTCTCAAGCATTGTCTTTCGTGTGAGATCTAACGTGCAACTGACTGATCCTTTGGGACTGGGAGTAACCTGAATATTGCTATGCTATTTTGTGTCAGAGACCGTCTATCACAAAGGTAAGATTACCTGGGTATAAAATAGATTGGTGTACCCAAGGGCTGAGGCTCCATAATGAGGCTGATGGAGTATTTGAGGAATTTACATTGATAACTGGTTGGTGAAATCTACATGAGATCTGCATGAGATTTCAGAACTCACCAACAGTTTGGCTACGTCTACACTGGCCCCTTTTCCGAAAGGGGCATGCTAATTTTACAGGTCGTAATAGGGAAATCCGCGGGGGATTTAAATATCCCCCGCGGCATTTAAATAAAAATGTCCGCCGCTTTTTTCCGGCTTTTAGAAAAGCCGGAAAAGAGCGTCTACACTGGCCCCGATCCTCCGGAAAAAGCGCCCTTTTCCGGAGG